CTCTTTCTGGAGCTCTTCCATTATGTTCTGCCTGGCAGTTATCATGGGTCTAGCTGACAATCCCCCAGCTATCGTGTTGTTTTCAGACTTCAACTTGCTCTTCAGGTACCATTTTTCTCTCTCCATGCATGTGACCACTGAACGAAGCTTCTCGTAATTCGAGAGTAATTTAACGTGTTCCACCGTCTTTTCCTTCAGCTTCTCTTTCAATTTCTCAGCTGCCTGCTGCCACTTCTTTTGCTTCTCCCATAACGAAAGCTCTTCAGCTGTCTGTGTAAGGTATCGTGGAATTATTATACAGAAAGTTGCGAGTGACAGATAAAATGTTAGGTGTACCTTGGCTTTCTTTATTTCGTTCGCGAGATACTCTCTATCTAATCGCACTTGAGCCTTCTCCAGCTCTTCTTCTAGGGATTTAACTTTGCGTTCAAGCTGACTTTCGCGCTGCGAGGTTTTCTTCTCTTGAGACTTTACGGCCATGTATCTATGGCGAAGGTAATTAAGGAGGGTAATTAAACTAGCAAGGCTGAGTAAAGGACTTCTCGTGCTACTCGTTATATCAATTTCATCAATTAATTAATAATAAATGAATAAATGAATTTTGCGCTTGTGGAGGATCCTACTGTCAACAATAATTGACAGATTGGTCTGAAAAATTTATTTAATAGTTCCTGGAATGCTAATTATTTAGTATATCTTGGAATGCTAATTAAAATTCTAAATTTCATTAAAAAGAATTGGAAGTCATCTCTTTGCGCCGTATGAAGGATCCTGTTGTCAACAATAATTAACAGATTAGTCTGAAAAATTTATTTAGTAACTCTTGGAATACTAATTAAAATTCTAAATTTCATTAAGAAGAATTGGAAGACGTCTCTCGATAAAAATAACAAAAATGTCTTTATTAATTTATCTACCTAAAATTAAATTTAATACACAATTATATTTTTCGTCCACCATGAAAATACCTGCGACTAAGTTGCTGCTTCAAATCTAATATTTCATTTTTGTACGATTTCTCCTTTTCCAATAACGATTGCAACTGCTTCCTCACGGTGTCGGTATGATCCTGCTGTTGCAAATGATCGTGACTCAAGGTCTGCGTGATTTCGTGTATCTTCAACCCTGACTCGCCATGAGTTATTGCTTGCCGCGATCGACTCGCAGATTCCATCAATTCGAGTTCATTCTTCGTCCAAAAATAATACAATACTCGTACATAAATAAAGCCTGATAAATTTATAACGATCCTGAAAAAGCAGATACCTGAAGCTCCTGATAAGCAAAGCTGAGCTGGTCTATCTTCTCATCCTTTTCCTGCATATCTTTCATCAAAGAAATATTCTCCTTCGTGATCAGCATACGATTCTCTGACAACTGCTTGCGCAACTCATCCGCCTCTGATTGCCATTTTGACAGTTCCCCGCGATAAATCTCTATCTCGCTCTTATGTTGCTCCTCCAATCTGACAAAAAGTCGCTCTTCAACAACTCGAGAATCGTATCAACTTCCATCGGATGACAACTTACCTCTCTCTCATACCATCCATGTGTTTCAGCCTTTCCTCGGCTAATCGATGCCAACGATCGCTTAGTTCCTTGGTAATATTCAGATCTGCCTCCAAAGTGGAGACTTTTTCCTGCAACCTAGCAAGTTCCTCTGCTTGCAAGACGGCATTCC